TATTATACATTGTAGTTGGTAAAAGCAATTTGATTGGCTAAGAGCTTACAGTTAAATCGCGCAATCACGCAACCTACACAAAATTCAGTTATCTGCTAGCAGATAACTCAGTTATCTGCTAGCAGATAACTCAATTTTGTGTAGGTTGCGTGAGGTTGAATGAGTGTACATTTCAAATGAGTGTACATTTCAATTTTCAAATGAATGTACATTTCATAATTGTAATGTTTACTTTAACAAGTAAACATTTTAATACGTTAACATCTTAACGATAATATGTTTCTTCTATATTTGTAATTAATTTAACTGTTGGACTTCCGGAGACTTGTTTATAGAAACGTTTTACTTGAACAGCTTTGCCAGTAATCATATTGAATATAACGCTTACCGAGACCTTGATAATTTTGCATATCGCAAAAAAATTAAAATATTAAAATACTATGTTTATTATTTTTCAAATGTATAATAAAACAATTATTGAATTCGGTTTTTGCGATATGCAAAATTATCAAGGTCTCGGTATAGCGTTATCAGCCTCGCCTTCGGCTCGGCTGATAACGCTTACCTCGACCTTGATAATTCCGCATATCACAAAAACCTCATCCAATAATTGTTAATTATTGGCACTACCGGTATCAACCTATACGCAGGCAGACAGCTAAAAAAATAATACTTAACAAGAATAATATTTGGCCATACATTTTCCGTGTTGATATATACAGTTATATCAACACGAGTGGAAATTGGAAAAACTCGAAATTGTGTGGAGAGTGTTTGCATACAATTTCAAGTTTTCCCAATTTCCACGAGTATATAAAATTTCCACGATATTAAAGAAGAAATTACTCTCCACTGGTCTAATGCAAGTATAGAGCCTTAGAGGGAAAGGTAAAACAGATGTAGAGTTTATTTATTCCAACAGTAAATCTCGAGTGAAGAACGGAAAACTTCTCTACCTGTTTACCATGGATAATAACTTTTGTGGGATTGCTGAGAGAATCTTTAACAACAAAAACCTAAAAGTGAAATATCTAATTAATTAGAATTATAATATTTATGTGGACTAATCAATACATTTTTGGACCAGGAACTGGTCCCCAACCGTTGCTAATCTTATTGTTGTCGTTAGACTTAGAGGACGCCGCTCTTCGAAAAAAGCCTAAGTGTTACGATATTTCTCATCGATTGACGGTGTATGATTTTGTATTTTCGATTTAGGGGCAACGTACAAGCAATTCTTGTCTGTTCACGTAGAATAACAATATGCATATCATTAATATTCACAGACAATCCCCAATTAATAGTTTAGTCGCTGGTCCAATGGTTGGGGTTTATCTGCTAATGGAAGTGGTATTAGTGAGCTGAAAACCGGAAAATTTGGATCAAAATCATCAAATCAGTAATAGTCCAGTCAAATAACTATAAGTACATGGTCCTGATCAAAGTAATCGCAATAGATTTGTTTTCAGTGGTAAAGTGTGAGAAAAGTTGTTTTGACTAACATACTAAAAATAAAAAAAAATCCCTTCGGTGGAACATGGTGAAAATCGAGTTTTTCTTACTTCAACCTATAGAAAACCATTGTGGACAGAATGTTGAAATTTTGAAATCATTTTTAGGCAAATGTAACCTACATTATTGGAAAGCTTAGAAAAAACTAAAATATAGATAATTAAACGGTTACCTTGCTTTTGCCTATCCAGCCGAAGTTATACAAGATTTAAAATGCCATATATTTGTATTTTGTGCAAATATGGCGCTATTTTTCCAACTTTGAGCTAGAATAACGACAAACTGACCAGTAAATTGAATATAACCGTGATCTATGATCTATATTTTAGTTTTTTCTAAGCTTTCCAATAATGTAGGTTACATTTGCCTAAAAATGATTTCAAAATTTGAACATTCTGTCCACAATGGTTTTCTATAGGTAGAAGTAAGAAAAACTCGATTTTCACCATGTTCCACCGAAGGGATTTTTTTGGATTTTTAGTACGTTAATCAGGACACCTTCCCTCACAATTTACCACTGAAAAAATTCTATTGCAATTTCTTTGACCTCTGGTCACAGTTTGACTGGACTATAAGATGTCCCCATTTTGGCCAAATTAAAAAAAAATTGAACCTGCATGATCTTCGCATCAAACATGTAATAGAAATTCTACTCTAACTGGTATATGACCCCTTGTCAATGGAAAGCGCGCCATGACGACGTTTTATGAAGTTCTGGTAAAATTCGTCCTTCCTGATGGAGTAGGAAATGTCATTTCAATATTCAAATCGGAATATGCAACTTGCATGGAAATTTATTATATGCTTCGAAAAATAATATACTTACTGCACCAGTGACGTTATATCTTGGAGCACCAATAGCAAAGTCTAAATACATAAATTTATAAATATATATTTTCTATTTATAAAGTTTAACTATTCAAACATTCGTTACTATTCCGAGTTTTGTGCACCTAGGCACACACCATAGATATCTTATATACACTAGATAGCGCATCTCTTTTAGTAAAATTGAAGCCAAGAATATTCCAGCGGTTACTCCCATTTGAATGGATGGCGGCCATGTTGGTCGTTCCCACTTGCTAATAAACGCTTAAAAACAACAATAACTTTCATCATTTGAATAGTTTAAAAACGTATTTGGAATAGGGTAACTTAATGTTTAAGTTCCCTGTTTAAGAAATAGAAAACATACGAATCTTCTCATTTCATGGGAACGACCTGAAACTGCAATCACGGCTTCAATTTTTGAATTGCAGAATAATTAGATGCACTACCTAGTGTATATAAGATATCTATGGCACACACGGACGGAAACTCTTGGTTGGTGCAGAAGGTAGGAACAGAAACTCTTAGTTGCCTGACGATGTCCTGCGGACATGAAACACATTTATAAAATAAATAAACAAAAAAACAAGCTCTACTTTATCGTATTGTTGTAAATCCTGGGGGGTTGGGAGGGGGTGTGACACCCTTTAATGTTTGAGAAAAGCAATTTTGTAGGACAAATATATTAAATATTCAATAATTTGTTGGGTAAAAACACATTCCAATCATGTTGAGTAAGAACGAGAAAACGTAAGAGTCCAGTTAAGGTACGAGATTGAGTCCAGTTTGAGCATTTTTAATGCTATTCTAATTTACGTCGTTTCCGGACCATCTGGATTCGATAAAACTTCCCCTAAAGTGCATGAAATGGTCTTTCTGATTCTCTAAATTTCACACTGTTCTGGGGGACTATGCCCCCATACCCCTAAGGGTCTCGCGTCCTGGTACTCGATACTTGTGTCTTCGCATCACCGTCCCTAGGCCCCAGTGTCTTTACGTTCTTTCCTGACCACACCTTATTTGTTGGTCAAATGTATAAAGGCGGCATTTTATGTATCTATCATTTACCACCACGGACAAGTTGTACCCAATATTTGGCGAAACACAGGTAAACGTAGTCTGAATACACAAACCTCAAGGCCATATGTATTTCATTATCAAACCAAACATTGAAATAGGAGAAATATCACGTTCAATTTTCTAAGACTATTCAGAGTATGCTAAGATTTCCTATATTTTTCTGAGATTTTTGGCTGGTAAACAATTTATGGTCACAGTTTCAAACATTTATACTGCAACTTATTTCAATTCTAAAACAAGCTCGACGTCACAAAATAGTTTATGCACGCTGACGCCATACTTATAAGAAAGGTCTATTGAATAAAATGAGAAAAAAAAACAAAAACAGAAATAATGAAATCGGGTTTATCCATACCATTGCTGCTAGCCGAAAAAAATGATCCAGTTGCGATTGAATAACCTGCAACGTTTGAAAATAGTATTCATTAGGTTATACATCCATATTTCGTGCTTATATATAGAAAATTACCGTGTTTATCTGATTCAACTCTGCCCTGCTGTCATTTATTCAGGAGCAGCAGAATTGCTGTAACTTGCAAGAAAAGCAGATTTCAATGCATGTTAGTTAGAATGCTTACTATATGTTTGCTCACATTCGGTATCTTAGTGTGAACAGTTTTAATTAATACGAGTTAAAATCAGGCTTTCAGAATTGCAGAAATTTTGCTGCTCGTGTTCGTTTACCTTCATTTCTTAGTTACATGGGTAATATTTCCATATTTTCCGCCGATATTACCGCGGTTGTATCATCTATGGGTTGTATCTACCGTGTGTGGGGGGCAACCTCAACATCGTACTACAGCTTGTTTTGATGGTCAGCGAAAAAGGCCCTGGCATCGGCTGGTCTGTTTTGCAACCTGATTGGTCAATGATTTTGAATATAATTATTCAACATACGGGGGAAATAATTATTATTTTGGTGAAACGAGAGTGGAGTGACAAATTTATAATTAGTTCTTGAAGGACTAAAGTATTGAGTAAATTAAAATCAAGTCTTTGTACATTTGTATAGACGAGTATTTGATTCGGTTCAACATACATTTCTCACATGCGTTGTTTATACATCGTCGATTTCAAGAAACGTACAGCGTTATACTTTATATAGTCAAAGATTGTGATACGAATATATTTGCTCATAACACGATTTATATAAACCAAACGGCAAACGCTGAAGCGGTTTTGTTTGGTTGTTCATTAAGAATTGAATCACAGGCTAAACAGGCTCTGAATATGTTTAATAGTCATCAATATTACGGGCTATGTTGCTGAATGAGGGGTAAACAACGAAAACCGAATAAAGTCAACTTATTTCGTTGCTTTCCCTTTGATTATATACGCAGCATTGAGTTCGTTTACTCCTGTCAGTAATTACAATTAATGTATATCACTATTCTATATACGTACTTATACGCATAAACTATCATAATTGAACACCCCAAATACTGGAGATTTTGAGGTCATGTAACCGGCCGATGCCAGGGCCATTTTCGCTGACCGGAAGCAAAATGCCCTGGGTACGAGGTTGACCAGCCTCCAAATTAACAATGTGACCATAGCATTGGTTTTACAATACACGCTTCCGGAAACAAGGGCAGATTTCGTGCTCGACCAATCAGCGCATTTGTTTACATTTTCGCTCTCAGCTAATCATAATGCAGGAAACGAGAAATTAACAACAAGACGAGCTAGAAAATATTGCCGTCTTCTCGGGCTTCCGTGAGATTCAATTTTAACTTTTTAAATTTTAAACCAAAAGATTATGATGCAGCACATTAAAATCTAAAACTTTGCCGTGGGCATTTTTAAATTTCGACCTAGAACTGAAAATATCCATGTTTGAAATTTTTGCCTATGTCGCGTATACAAATCGTATACAAATTTGAGTAATCTAATTTGACTGCAATAAAACCAAAAATTGCTATATTTTCTCTGCTTTTAAGGTTTTGTTGGAAAACTCTTTTTAGCTCTTGTTGCAAATTGTTTTGGTCAATGTTTTATATCAAAACCTAGACGATAAAGCGTTTATAGAGCTTGATTTAAAAAATATATAGTCGCACGCTCGCGATCATACGGGAAATCAATACAAAAATATTGTCCGACCGATTTTGCAGAAAATCAGACTTTCTAAACGCGTTATTTTCTAGGTTATGAAATAATACATTGGCCAAAATGATTCTCAACAAGAGCAAAAAAGAGTTTTCCAACGAAAACGTAAAGCAGAGAAAATATAGCAATTTTTAGTTTTATTGCAGTCAAATTAGATTACTCAAATTTGTATACGCGACATAGGGAAAAATTTCAAACACGGATATTTTCCGTTCTAGGTCGAAATTTAAAAATGCCCACGGCAAAGTTTTAGATTTTAATGTGCTACATCATAATCTTTTGGTTTTAAATTAAAAAAGTTAAAATTGAATCTCACGGAAGCCCGAGAAGACGGCAATATTTTCTAGCTCGCCTTGGTGTAAATTTCTCGTTTCCTGCATTATGATTAGCTGAGAGCGAAAATGTAAACAAATGCGCTGATTGGTCGAGCACGAAATCTGCCCTTGTTGCTTCCGGAAAGTATGTCATCTTGGCTATAGAGCCTCGTAAACATTGTCATTAAGGTTTCATGTGAGAATGGACAATGTCTTCATCTGTTCACTGTTAGATGTAACCGACGGTAGAATAAAAAAGTTTTAATCAGTGAGCTCTATATATCTGGAGTCATTCGGCCTATGAGAATAGTGAAGCCAAGACTGGGGAAATTGACGTCCAATATCAATATGAAGGTCGATAACAGTTTGTTTAATACGATTTTCCCAGCTAATTCAAGTTTTTTTCTGACTGTATCGCTAAACAAGTTATCAGTTCATAAAACTATAGTGTCATTCTTTAAATCGACGTCAAAATACAAAATTTCGGCACACTCCTCCTTGCCAGCTACGTGTTAACCGCGCAGACAAAACAATAGAAAGAGACTGGAACTGACGTCCAATAACTCCTCAATTTCCGCCATCTTGCCTTCATTTTTTGGACTCGAGTTCTCGCTCCAGATATATACGGAGCTCATTAGTTTTTAGGTACCTCCATAAGAATATTTTTGGTCGCTGACTTCTTGCTCGCTGTCTTTAGTAACAATTGAACCTGTATGAGAAGGAAACATTTATACTCGTACTGCGTATAGGAAAATAATATGCATATTGTCTTATTAATAAGTGAAAAAATGTTTGAAACTCGATGGGTTAACATTCCTGGTTATTTTATCTCACTTCCTACTATAGTCTGTTTAAGTTAACCTAGCCTTCTTCGCAGGCATCTCACCCGAAGAATCGGGTGGTCGGGAAACGTTTGGCGAAGAATTTTTTTTATTTCAATACCCATTCGCAGGTTAAAACCCATAGAGAGGCCTGCGGAGAAGGCTAAAGTTTGCCCACATATGTGTGTTATTTTTAGGTCAACCAGGAAGTTTTAACCATAGTGTTTTTTACAGGGTACATAACGTAAACAGAAACAGGAAAAAGAGGGAACTTGTAATACCGGAATCTGGCGGAAATTAGTCGTCGACGGATGTTAAATGGTATACGTTTGACAAATAACATAGCGGAATCTCGATGAGCTACATTATTTGTACGAATGCACATTGGGAACACATTTGGAGATAAAAACCTGTATATACAATTACAACTGTTATGTATGCAACTATTATATAGAACCATTGCACTGACGTCACAAATCCTTAGAGTGCCCTCCAGATGCTCCCTAACAATATCTGTTCGGGTACAACAATCACATACAGCGCAAAAATTAACCATTTTAATACAAAATTATTGTCAAGTTTTACAAAATTTGCGTTGTTTACAAAAGTTATGTCATGCATATATTGCTAATTTGTCCTCCAGATGCATCGTCACCGGCGCTGTGACGTCATGTGCAATGGGTCTATACATTTCATGAGTTGGATTTCAGTCGCTCATTTCAAGTTTCAGTCGCACATTTTTATTTTAGTACTTGTCATGTTAGTTGAAGTCTTGTGTGGATGTCACAGCAAATTGTAATTAATGAAAAGGATCACAGCGATATTAAGGGGTATAGGTTTGGTGTGGTTGAATTACCTCAGAATCAGCTGAACAACTTTTGTACCACAAACTTGCAAAGGATATCCTTTTTAAGTTAACCAGGCTATGTTTGATGGATAAATAACCAGAGGTCGTGCTTATTTATCCATCTAACATAGTCTGCATGTTAATTTAGAAAGACCTGATCAATTAGCCTTTCTCAAGAAGGCCAATTTCGCCATTTTTGGGGTACTTTTTTTTAAAAACGACGGGAAAAATCTAAGCGATGTAAAAACATTTTTTTAAATATTTAACTGTAAATTAACTTATAATGATTTTATTCACAATTATAGTTATACAAATCCCTTATTACCGGCGTACAATCTCAGATTTGGAAAAGGAAGTACCTCAAAAATGGCGCTGTGAGAAAGGCTAATTAAATAGACTATTCCAGTATTGAAAATAATTTTGAAACAAATGATAGCGATATTACATTTATTAAACGACGTTTCGATGCTACAGCGTGCATCATTTTCAAGTTATAGTATTACATATATTGCGTTGATTTAAATTAAACCGTTCGTATCACGTTAGCAAATTATTGCGTAAGCATGCAAAATTTAAATTTATATGACGTAATAAATTACATAAATTACATTTAAAAGAAAACATAAAACAGATTAACCATATTTCTGTCTTTCATAAATATATAACATGTACACAAAAAACAACAACAAACAAACATACTAAACAAAACAAACATAAAACCCATTAATTATAGGATTAAGTATAAAGTTTTGAACGAATCGAGTCCGATTGAGTGTTCAAGGACGGCGATCGGACTCGATTCGTTCAAAACTTTATACTTAATCCTATAATTAATGGGTTTTATGTTTGTTTTGTTTAGTATGTTTGTTTGTTGTTGTTTTTTGTGTACATGTTATATATTTATGAAAGACAGAAATATGGTTAATCTGTTTTATGTTTTCTTTTAAATGTAATTTATGTAATTTATTACGTCATATAAATTTAAATTTAATTTATTTTTTAATTTTAATTTTTTAATTTTTTTAATTTAACAAATTTATTTGGATCAATATATATATATATATATATATATACATATACATATACATATATATATATATATATATATATATATATATATATATATATATATATATATATATATATATATATATATCGGGTGTCCCAAAAAAAAGTACTCCGGTTTGATTCGTAATAACTTCTAAACAAGTACAGTTTTTAAAGATAAATAACTTGTATCAAATAGAGGAAGGACTAACTTAGATTTTGATATATTACAGTTGGATTTCACTTAAAAATTCACGGAGATATTAATGTTTAAAATCGGGAGCATATTTCTTGATGTGTCTGAAATATGCAAAAAACGGCGTATTAAATATTAATCAAGATTTGCCCGATTGAAACATGCACGATTACCAGTAAATAAATGACACTTGACATATTGTTTATTATGAAACAAATTATTATTATCTACAAAATGCAAGCAAGATTTATTCGTCCGAAATCCGCGTGTTTTCCTAGCACGAATACGTTTCCTTATTTCATGAGACCACTGCATCGCGAAGGATTGTCATGGATCGTTCGTAGTTCTGAATTAGGGCATGCTGTCACAATCGAATTGTGAAGTTCTTCTAACTTTTGCAACGTTCTGAAATCTTGTTAAAAACACTCAAACTCTTTTTCTTGTCTTAATCTTTTTAATTTCAGAATAAACTGAGAATGAAACACGATCAAACCATACAACTCGATAAGACATAACAAGCATGCAACTCCCCAGAGACATCTAACATTTTTGGAACAAAACGTACTAACAAAATAGTAGCGTTGATACTGTGATGTGTATTTGCAAAAAGCAATATTATTTCCTTTATTGCAGAATAATATTCATCCTGCTCTAACCGAGAAATAATCAACTCTGTTTTTAATCCATGAAAAACATAAAAAAAATTAGGCTATTTAAGAAATTTTAAAATTTAAGCGCCTGCCTTACATGGTCTTTCATGTACCTTATATGTTTGTAAAGACCTATTAAATACTTGCATAATTTCGTACGTTCATATTTCAGGAAACAATGAGCTAAGACTTACATGTAAGATGTCTAAATCTATGCCATATCCCTTACAAACCCTAACGACAATTCGCTGAAATTCAAGTTAGCCTGATATGTTATCAAGCAAACAAACGCTGAAGTTAATATTTGATATGCCGATTTTCGCTAATTTTAGACGCATTCAAAAATATGCTCCCGATTTTGAACAATAATATCTCCGTGAATTGTCAAGTAAAATAGAACTGTAATATATCAAAATCTAAGTTAGTCCTTCCTCTATTTAATGCAAGTTATTTCTGTTTGATAGCTTTACTTGTTTAGAAGTTATTACAAGTCAAACCGGAGTACTTTTTTTTGGGACACCCGGTATATATATATATATATATATATATATATATATATATATATATATATATATATATATATATATATATATATATATATATATATATATATATATATATATAACACATTTGAAAGCTAGATCCAAAACGGCAAGGTACGAACGGGACTCTTTGAAAAGTTCCCATGCAAGGCTCCTTCCGGCGTCCAATTATATGATTATATGTACAGTTATATACTTATATACACATAGTATACATATACGCACGCTCACAGACAAAGCACACACAGAGACAGGTTACACACACAGACAGGTTACACACAGACGCTTAAAGGCCATTTCCCACCGCAGTCGCCCCGCACGCGCGATTTTATCATGTGAAAAATTAGTTCTACTTTCATGGCGTGTCCGCGAGCATTCAGGCGGACAAA